ATTGGCTCGCCCTTGGCCAGAAGCAGATCCAATAGAGCCAGGGGAGCTTCTAGCAGCTTCTCACAGGGGCCACCCCTGTGGCCGCTTCCCCACTACCAAAACCCCAATACACAAACCCAATTCAGGTGCTAATTGGGAATGATGATTAGGGTCAGGGCAAGCTAACCACACTTCTGCAGCACCATGGCCCTTCAGTAGGAGAAAATTCATCCCTTCCCCACCCCCAACTTTCTCCCTTAAATTTCTACTCCAGCTCCGCTGAGAAAGAGGAACTTTAACTCAGGAAGATTACAAAACCCCAAAGGTTTAAATAGAAATGCACCCTCATTGGACTGCAACCCCTGCCCGCTGAAAGCCACCCCACGGTCACATACTCATCCGCGAGCGCCGGGGAAGCCACCCAAAATGCAGTGGGTAGCAGGAAGACAAGCTCACGGGTCTTCTGGCCACTCGCCATCTGATGCAGCCTGCAACACCACTGCACGGGCATCAGACAGTTAAACCACTCCCTGCTCCCGAAACCCTGGAAGTTGGTACAAGCTGCCGGCAAAGGTCACTTTAGACCCAGTTTGCATCTGGCGCATCTGCTAACACAGCACGGATCTAAGGAAAAGGAGGCCAGACCCTTCTGCCTCCCATCCCTGCCTGTCTGCAACCTTAAATGGCTCAGACAACTCAGTCCCCTCTTGAGCTGGGAACAGTCAGATCCAGCCGCCTCTTGGCAAAGCCCCTTCCCGAGCTGCTCTCTCGGCAGCAGAAAGGCAAAGCCAGCTCATGCCCTTCTCAGCATCCAAGACCCTGAAAAAGGTCAAGGGAGGGGGTGCAAAAGAGCAATGCCAGGCTCTGCTGTGCTGCAGGGGAAGCTGAAGGTGGTTAAACACCACGGAAAAGTGGTGATGGTGGGGGAAATGAGGTACAAATAACGTGACTCCCTAGGTCCATACCTAAAGTGCCACCGCTCCCCAAAACAGGCTGATGAGCTTCTGTGCTGGTGGCTAAAGAAGAACCCTCCTGCACAGAGCTTTGATCTCTGGCTCCTCCACAGAAACACAGACCCACATCTCCTGCTCCACACCCAGCCAAGAGGCAGAGGGAATGAGGGAGGTGAAGGGCTCCCCACCACTCTTGGCCAGCACACAATTCACACATGAGAACCCACTGGTGCACACTCCCTCACACCAACCTAGAAGGTGCTGGTGCCTCGGCCAGCTCTCCACCGCTCTGCATGCCATCCTCGCCCCAGCAACGGCAGGAGAGATTCCTGCCACTCCAGCCGGAGAACAAGGCTGCTCATGGATGCACGCACAGGTTTTGACGCAGGGGTGGCTGTTCCTCAATGCCCCATGGACATCACCCCCACCGCATGGGCTGGTTCAAGGTACAGCCATCCCAAAGGCAATGTTTCTGGCTTTCCTAAAAAACAGAGGCAGGGAAGAGGGAGCAGGCTTATAGCCTGTTGGTTGTTGTGAAAGCTTTGCTCAGTGTGTAGATTTCCAGAGGAGGATAAACAAGAGTTTCTATTTCTCGGCAGCTAACGCAGAGTCCAGAGAGAGCTGACCATAAAATAACAGAGGGAAACACAAAGGCACAGCCTCCCCATTCCCATGCTGAGCAGGAACTTCTCCCATCTTCTGCAAGCTCCTCAAGATCTCAAAGCCTGAGCAGACCATCTGGTGTTTTCCCTGCCTATCCAAATCTATCACCTCTGCAGCGCCCAATTGTTGCACCCCCCAAAAGCCGCACAGGGCTGTCAAACAAAGAGCTGAGCAAGACTGCGAGGAGGAGAGCACTGTCCAGGAAGGAGAGGGCTGGGATCTGCGTGCCATGCCAACAGCCCCAGCGTGGAGCCGGAGCTGCCGCGGCTGTTTTTCCTGATCTTGTGGATTTTCTCCCGTAGCGAGAGGGCTCCTGGCTCCCATTCAAAGCTGTCTAGGAAAGCCTCACCGAGTGCTTCCGCCTGGCAGCAGCAGCTGCTCCCAGCCCGGTAGCCGAACCACGCAGCTCCAGCAAACAAGAAACATCTGCCAGCCTCGTGCAGAGAGCCAGGAGAGCAAGCGCCTAGCCCCGGCAGGCACCGCATCCTACCTCGGGCCTGCAGGGAGGAGATGAAGGCACAGGTGAAGGCAGAATCACAGGATGGTTTGGGTTGGAAGGGACCTTAAAGCCCACCCAGTCCCATCCCCTGCCATAGGCAGGGACACCTTCCACCAGACCAGGTTGCTCCAAGCCTCATCCAGCCTGGCCTTGGACACTTCCAGGAATGGGGCATCCACAGCTTCTCTGGGCAACCTGTCCCAGTGCCTCCCCACCCTCTCAGGGAAGAATTTCTTCCTGATATCTAATCTAAACCTCCCCACTTTCAATTTAAACCTGTTATCCCTTGTCCTGTCACTACAGACCCTTGTAAAAAGACCCCGCCCCAGCTTCCTTGTAGCCCCCCAGGCACTGGAAGGGGCTATAAGGTCTTCCCAGAGCCTTCTCTTCTCCAGGCTGACCCCCCCAACTCCCCCAGCCTGTCCCCACGGCAGAGGGGCTCCAGCCCTCGGAGCATCTCTGTGGCCTCCTCTGGACTCGCTCCAAAAGCTCCGTGTCCCTCTGCTTTTGGGGGTCCCAGAGCTGGACGCAGTAGCGCAGGTACATTTATGCCTGTGAATGAGATGATCTAACACTCCAGTGCTGTTTGGGACTCTAGATGAGCAGAAGTAGCCTGCGTAAAGAAAGAGGAGACTGGAGTTTTGTCTGAAAGCCTGGTAAAGGTGGATGCATGAAGGCACGAACGCACCATGAAGCAGGCTAGGACAACAGGCGACAATTAAATAAAAGCTGAGCTCTTATCTTGCAGTCAGGACTTAGTGTGGACTCTGCCAACACGTGTGGGAAAGCGGCGTGGGGGAGGAAAAGCTCTCACTGCCGAGACGCAGAAGACTGCAAACTGCCAGGGCTCCTCCACTTCCATCTCCCCTCCAGCCTCCCAGGGCTGAGCAGGGGGTTCAGAGCAGACGCTTCTCTGCCTGGGCTGGCAGCTCTCCACTTTTCCCTGGAAAAGAGACTTCTCCCAGGCCTCCCAGCCTTCTTCAGAGAAATAAATAATGTGCTCTGTGCAACACAGAAGCCAAGGCAGAGCTCAAGAGAAGAGGCAGCTTTTAACCCTCCTCTGCATTAAAATCCCACCTTTAAACATAAATGGGGTGGATGAAAGGCAGCGCAATGGACCTTGAGCATAAAGAGATGGACAGGTACCCAGGAAAGTTTAAA